GGAAGAAAGGGAAGAAAAAAGGGAACCACTGACGAGTATCTTTCATGAGTAAAGATTCAAATTTTTTTTTTTTTTTTTTTTTTTTTTGGCTGGCTCAGGCTGCCTTCAGGGCCAGTCTGGTGAAGCATGTGGAGCTGGGGCTCGAACTGCGGTCCCCCATGCCTGACTGTGTTTGCCCAAGCAAGTGCTTTAAACAACTGAGCTAACTGGCAAGGCCCCATGCAAAATCTTTACATTTATTGTTATTTTTTATTTTTCACCAGTTCAGCCCATCCTGAGGGCGGGGCTGGTGCAGCACTGGTGCTCGGAATCAAGGTCCCCTGCATCTGCCTAAGTTTGCCTAAGCAGGCACTCTAGACCACTTAGCTATCTCGCCAGCCACGCAAAAATCTTTAAAATATTAATAAATAGAATTCAGCCAGACTTAAAAGAAATATAAGCCATGAACAAGTAATGTTTGAGGGCCAGCCAAATAGCTCAGTGGATTAAAGTGCTGCTTAGGCAGACGCAGGGGCCAGGAGTTCCATCCCCTGGCTTGCCGTGCTGGCCCCGCCCCCAGGGTGCGCTGAGACAGTGATTGAGACCGGGCGTGGTGGCGTACGCCTGTAATCTGTAAATTGGAGGATCACTACTCACTACAAGTCCGAGCTATGCAGTGAGACCCCGTACACCCTGTACACCCTGTCCTAAATACAAAAAAACAAAAAAACAAGTAGTGTTTGTTCTAAGAATGGAAAAATGGTTCATTATTTGAAGATCAGTGTCACTCACCAAATTAATGGATGTTATGGTTTGTGTCTAGATGTCCCCCCAAAGCCTCATGTAGTCATGGGGCGGCTTCTGGAGTTTGTGATTGGTTGCTTTGGGTGTGTATGCTGCACCTGCCCTGGGGCAGGTAATTTGCGTTAAGACATGAGGATGGGAGGCTGGCTGGCTGCATGACCTGCTGCCACTGCCTTTGCTGTCTGCTCCTTGTCGCTGCCATGAAAGGTTGTCCTCTGCCATGTGCCGCTTTGCCTTAGAGCCAGTTGAATATGGACTAAAACCTCCAGTAACTGTGAGTTAAATAAACCTTTCCTTTCTTCATTTTGGCTGTTGAGCATTTGTCCCAGCAACGAAAGAGTAACTGAGACCATGGACTAAAAGAAGAAAAAATTGTGTAATTCTGTCAGTGCAGAAAAAGCAAAATTTAGCAACCACTTATAATCAGAAAAAAAAAAAAAAAAGCTGAGAAAAAGAGACACAGAAGAGAACTTCCTCAACTCAGTGAGTAACATTTACAACAGACCTGTGACTAATATCACCCTTAATGGTGAGAGCTAAACGCACTGCCCCTAAGATAGAGCTATATGTTGAAGCCCAGGAAGTAAGGCAGGAAAAGAAAACGAAATTCATACCGCTCAGCACAGAAGAAATAGGGCTGGGGAGTAGCTTGGCAGACTAAGTGCCTGCCTGGCAAGTGCAGGGACCTGGGTTTGATCCCCAGTACCAAATGTCGTGCCGAGGCTGAGACAGGAGGATCACTAGAAGTCCGAGCTTTGAAGTGAGACCGTATACCAAATAAATAAATAAATTTTAAAAATTTTTTTAGAAAGAAAAGAAATAAAGCTGTCTACATACAAACTCCCAAGGAATATACAGTCTCCAAAATGAATAAGGTCACAGGATACAAGATAACACAAAAATGAATTGTCAAGCCTGGACTTGGTGGTGCATGTCTATCATCCCAGCACTCAGGAGGATGAGGCAGGAGGACTTCTGAGGTTGAGGCCAGCCTAGATGACACAGTGAGACCCTCTCTCAAAAAACAAAAACAAAAACAAAAACAAAAAAAAACCTTCCTATGTGCATGTGAAAATTAAAAACAATACTGTTTGTAACTATTCAAAAGGAAAGAAAACAGCAGGGTGGGGGCTGAGGGTTTAGCTCAGTGGAATAGGGCTTACTTAGCACATGTGAGGCCCTGGGTTAGTCCCTCGCACCAGAGAGAAGCAGGAAGGAGAGGGGGAGGGGAGGAGGAGAAAGTACTTAGGTATAAAAGAAAACATGTCCAGGATTTGTCTGCTGAAAATTGCACAGCAAAGATGAGAGAAGTACAAGACCTAAGTAAACAGAGGCATGCACTGCACTCAGGATTGGAAGGCTCATCGACGTGAACATGCCCATTTTCCCCCATTTGATTTTATGGGTGTAGCACAACTATTAAAGTATCAGTCTGATTTTTTTTTTAAAGTCAAGATTATTGTAAAGCAAGATTATTGTAAAGAATGGTTAGGCGTAGTGGCACATGCCTGTAATCCCAGCACTTGGGAGGCTGAGGCAGGAGGATCATTGTGAATTTGAGGCCAGCCTGGTCTGGGCTACAAAGTGAGCTCAAGGCCAGCCTGAACTGCATAGGGAGACCCTGTCTCAAAAAGACTAATAAAGAAAGAAAGTTTATGGGGAAAGGCAAAGGAGGAATAATAGGTAACACAATATTTAAAAAGTGAGATAAGGTAGGAGCCCAAGGAGAGTGTGGTGGAAGAACAAATCCAGAAACAGACCTGTACAAAAGTGCCTGATTTGGGACAGAAGTGCAGGTGGGAGTCCATAGACAGAAGGTAGCGTTTTCAACCAGCAGGTGCTGCGGCAACTGGAAATGCATAGGCAGAAAATCCTCTCTCAACCCAAGTCTCATATCACACAAAAGCGAACTCGTAGTGGGTCACGGACTTCAACGGTGAAGCACAGATCTACATATTTGTTAGGAAAACAAAGAGCGAGGCACTGTGGACTATGCCTATGATTCCGACACTCTGGGAGGCAAGGCAGGAGGATTATTTAGTCAAGCCCAGCCTAGGCAATTTAGGGACTAAGTGGGATTGTCACAAAATGAAAAATAAAAACAGTCTGGGGATATGACTCAGTGCAAAGGTTCTGTAATTAGGCAAAACCCATTAAAAGAAGTAAAGGGATCAATCAGATTGAAATAATTTTATTCTGCAGTAGACCCTGGTAAGAAGACTAAGAAGGCAAGTTACAGATTAGGAGAAAAGATTTGTATACTGCATATGAACCAGAGAACTAATATCTAGAACATTTTCACTAGGGAAAGGCCTGAGAATATGGGCAGAGCACAAGGAGGGGCTGTGGTCTTAGTGCTTGTGCGACCTAACTTCATGTGTGGAGTTGATAGGAGGAGGTGGGGTTGTCACAACTAAGATTAGTGCCATTGTGAAACAGGCCTGAGGTACCCCTCTCCCCTTCTGCGCTGTGAAGGGACAGTTTTAGGAAGGAAATGGTCGTCTGCCCTCTTCATCGGGGTCAGTTCCTGTTCTCCAGAACTGAAGAAATGAATTTCTACGATATAAGCCTTTCTGTCAGCCACTTATACTACGGTATTTTGTTTTAGCAACCCAAAGTGACAACACACAAGATGTTCCACATCACTGGCCATTAGAGAAATGCAGATTAAAATAAAAGTAAAACAATTTTAAAAATTAAGTTTTCAGCATGGCTAAAATAAAAAAGATAGTGACGCCATTGAATACTGGCAAGGATGTGGACAGACTGGGTCACCTTTCAGTTTTGCTGGGAGTGGAAGATGCTAAAACCATTCTGTAGTTGTAAACGGATTTTGGCAGTTTTTTTTAAAAAAACCATGAGGCTATCATATGACCCAATAATTCTACTTCTGGGCACTTATCCAAGAGAAATAAAAACTGGTGTTGCATTAAAACCTAGATGGGGAAGTTCATAGCAGGTTTCTTTGTTGTCGCTTCAAATTAGAAACAACCAGATGTCCTTCAGTAGGTAAATAATTAAACAAATGCCCATGCTATAGAATACTACTTAGCCATAAAAAGGAACAGACTCGATATGCACAACTATCTGAATGAATCTTCAGAGAATGGTGTTGGATTGAAATGCCAAGCCCCTGTATGATCCTATATGACTCTCTTACTGTACCATAACATGCTTGAAATCACACCATTACAGATTAGTGGCTAAGGAGTGGAGTACGCATGGCTATAAAAGGGGGCTAGGAAGGTTGGTAGTGGCGATGGAAACTCTCAGCGCTAGGACACAAGACTCAATACCTTCCATTTAAAGGAGGAGAAGTTTATTTTGGGTCATGTTTTCAGCCCAGGGTTGGCCGGCTCTGAGGCAGGCAGGCAGGGTGGATGGGGCTGGTGGAAAAGCGCTGCTTACGTCATGGTGGCCAGGAAGAGAAGGGAGAGAAAGGAGGAGCCGAGGAGGGAGATGCACCATTCCAGGCCAGTCCCCATGACCTGCCTTACTCTGAGGACCCCACCCTTCAGTAGCAAGTCAGCTATAGCATCCCCAGGGGCTGATTGTCTTCTAAAAGCCCAACCTATGAGTATAGGGGCTCTTCAGGGACATTTAGGTACAAACCATAACAGCAGCATTCTATATTTTTACTGTGTCAAAGTCAATATCCTAGTTGTGCAGCATAATTTTGTAAGATACTGCCATTAGGGGAAATTGGGTAAAAGATACCTCATATATCCCCATGTTATTCCTTAACTGTATGTGAATCCATAATTATTTCAAAATTAAAAAAAGTTTAATTCAAATAACTGCTGAAGCAGCGTAACCCTAGGGGAGCTGAGACACTGGCTTCTCAGGAGGTTTGTGCTCAGCCATATCACTGAGAAGAGGTCCTGTGCCGAAGCGAGTCTGAAGGGTCACCCCCTGTGTCACCATGGATGCAGACAGGCTTTGTTGGGGCCACACAGGCCAGTCATGTTTTGGCAGGGCCTCCCAGCGAAAGTGGCTTGGGTTGGCTTTCTCTCCGGAAGGGCTCTTCCTGTGCAGTAGCCACGCGGGCTCCCTGGCCGCCAACCTGGCACCTGGTGGAGCGATGGGCTCTTTCCAAGCTGTACCAGCAAGTGCTGCAGGCCAGGTGGCGGCTGCAGGTGCTTGTGTCGCCTCTGGCCGAGGAGCAAGGTCTTAGGAAGGTCACAGCCTGGAGCTCATAGCTTCTTTTTCTCTTGCAGACACTCGCTGTTGTTTTGCTCTGCTTCCTGGACCCCCAAGGGCCATCGGGCTTACGCCAGCGAGGTGAACCCGGTGAGTGGAAGCCAAGGGAAGCGGTCAGAAGGCAGGCCCTTCCCTCTGGGCCTCAGTCCCTGACACCCTCAGAGTAGGGCTTTAACGCCTGCAGGATGTGCTGAGCCGCTTTCCTACTGAGCTGTCTCCCAAACCCTGCTCCCTACATGTGGGATCCTGCAGAAAGTTGGGTGCTAAGAGTTCAGCTCTGGAAGTGCCATCCAGATTTTAGTCCCAGCTCTGCTGCTAAGGACATGACTTGTCTTTATTTTGTCACAGACACCGTGGTCTGGTAATTATACCCATTATACAGAGCTAGGGAGAGGGATAAGAAAGCTTCATGCATGGTAATCCCAGCCTTGCACGTAGTAAGTACTGCGCCTAATAAGGTTGGCACTGATGGTGACAATGATGGCAATGACGGTGGCGATTGGAAAACTGAGCCTTGACAGTGGGAAACACTGCCCTCTGCAGCACTGCTGACTGGGGCAGAGTGTGGGTGGGGTTTCTGAGTCTCAAGCTCCTCCTGTACACTGTGGCGCTTTGTGCCAAGCTGGAGGACCAAGCCTGGGTCACACGCTAAGCGCTGGGTGCCCCACCTCAGGACCCTGGGTCCCTAACATGGGGTCTGGTCTTCAAACACAGGCTGGAAGCAAAGCTGTCCTGATCACAGGCTGTGACTCTGGCTTTGGGTTCTCTTTGGCCAAGCACCTGCATTCAAAAGGCTTCATTGTGTTTGCCGGCTGCTTGCTGAAGGTAAGAGAAGGCTCATTTTTTAAAACCAGGGCTCCTTGACAGGTCGTTGCAGTTTTGTTGTTTTTAAAAGATTGCTTTCCTAACAACTGGCTCACCTGTTGGTTAAAATAGCCTGAACTTTTGCTCACTTTGGCCTCCCTCCTCCTTCACAGCTTTTTCTATCGGTCTGTACTCACCCATCCACCCATCCATCTATCCACCCATCCATCCATCCATCCATCCATCCACCCATCCATCCATCCACCCATCCATTCATCCTTCCATCCTTCCATCCACCCATCCATCCACCCATCCATCCACCCATCCATTCATCCTTCCATCCACCCATCCATCCGTCCATCCATCCACCCATCCATCCACCCATCCATCCATCCTTCCATCCATCCATCCATCCATCCATCCATCCATCCACCCATCCATCCACCCATCTATCCATCCATCCATCCATCCATCCATCCATCCATCCATCCACCCATCCACCCATCCATCCATCCACCCATCCATCCACCCATCCATCCACCCACCCATCCATCCATCCATCCATCCATCCATCCATCCATCCATCCATCCATCATGCATCTATCTGCCTATCGTCCAGCCACCTGTCTTTTATCCGTTTATCCATTTTCCAGTGCTAATGTCTGGGGCTTTGCTAGGTGCAGCCTCAAGGAGCCGCCTGTCCGGTGGAGAAGCGATTCCATGCACAGACACAGCTGGAGAATTGGGGTGAAAAGCATTCTCGGGGATGCACAAGTGTTCATCGGATTACAGAGAAGCAAGAGACAGACTGAGCTGGGCACAGTGGCACTCGCATGTCATCTTAGCACTCAGGGAGGCTGAGGCAGGAGGGTTGCAAGTTTCAGCCCAGCCTAGACAACTTGGTGACTTAGTGAGATCTTGTCTCAAAATTAAAAATAAAAGAAGAGGTTGGGATGTAGTTCCGTATGAAGTAGAAAGAGTCTAAAAGCCTGGGAATGGGGATAAAGTTTGCAAGCAGAGCGCAGGGCTGCACACAGACCTGGCTGCCCCCTACCTGGGAGGACAAGCTGTCTGGCTCGTGTGGACAGCTGGAGCTGGCTAGAGTGTCTTAATGCCACTTGCCCAGTGAGACTGCCTACCACCAGGGGCATATCGGTAGGGCAAGGGCTGGGGTGCGAGACCCAGCAGCAGGAAGTGTGCTGCCTACTGCCATAGGCTGGAGGTCACAGGCACCCAGGGGTAGTGTGACCTTGGACTCCTCTGGAGGAAGGGCCAACTCAGAAGACTACATTGGTGCCCTCAAATCTGCCAGCCCCTGGAGCTGGCCTTGGGAAGGACAGAGGTAGGAACAGGAGAGGGGACGAGGGCCCTCCGTGCTGCCACCTGCCTCCTACATTTCTTTAGGGCCCAGGTGGGAGTTTGAGCTTCTATACCAGACTGGCTGGAGTCACCCAATTAGTAGATGGAGCTGGCCTCTGCTAGAACAAAAGGCTCTCTGTGCCTGAGGATGAGTGGAAAAGCTCCAAGAGGGGCCTGAACTTCATCCAGGAGTGAAAAAAAAGAATAGCTTGTGAATGAGATTTAAAAGGCTAATGAAAGAAAGAAGTGGGTTGACCAGTAAGCCAGGTAGCCCTGCTCCAGCTCAGCAGGGCCAGAGCCTGTCCTAGACCAGGGAGAGGAGAAGAGGAGAAGCAAAGTGGCCCAGGAGTGAGGCCTGGAGCTAAGTGCAGGAGGCCCCGAAGGCCATGGCTACCGTAGTCTGCAGCCAGCTGGTGGTGGGAGGTGGGAGAGGCTGGGGCCAGCTGAGTGCCCATCCCTGTTGGCACAGCTGTCACGAGTAGGTTGTGCAGGTGTCTTGGGGCTGATGAAGGCATGGGGTGGTCAGCAGGGTGGGGTCTGAGGCTGTGGCCCACAAGGCAAGCATGAGATGATTCCCATGTCCTTCCCAAAAAGAGGGATCCTCCCCGCAAGCTGCCGAATTGAGTTCATGTGTGAGGACAGTGACCCGAGCGGGGGTCGCCCCTGGGAAAGCAGGACTGTTGTCATGGCGCTGGCCCAGGAGCAGCCTGGTGCAGGGACCAGGGGAGCTAAGCAACGGCAAGATGAGGAAGAGCACCTGGTCCCTCACAGTCATCTAGGATACAATCTGTGACAGGGGCCAGTGACCCTTTGAGGTCACCCCAGGTGGGCTGCACTCAGAGCGGCCGCAGTGTGGAAGCTGTCAGACCCGTGGTCACAGGTGTCTCTATGCCATTTATGGAACAGAAACTCTGTGGGCACTCAGACTAGAGACGCCCTTCTGGGAGTTCTTTTTGGAGGTCTCCGTGGTGAAAGCATGAACTCCAGGCTGGGCTGCCCTGAGGATCCCATACCTGTCACCTCTTGGGAAAAGTTGGCGCATCAGTGAGGGTTGGGACCAACCTGCCAGCTCAGTGAGTCGCCATTGAGGGGACCGGGTAGAACCAGCCTCCCTGCTGCCAGCCTGGACACAGCCGCTGAGCCTGCCCTGTTGCTTCTTCAAAGGGCTGCTGGCGAGGCTCCCTTCAGATGGAAACCACAAGGGGATGATGACAATTTGGGGACACGAGGGTTATCAGAGGGAGAGTAACACTTCCCATCTCTGATGCTTGGATTGTCTACACAAGTCCCTCACTCCCACCCCCACACTTTTCCTCTGTACCTGCTCATGAGGTCCACTCATGGCCCAAACAGCTCCTGGGTGCCTGTGCCACCCACAGACCAAGACACCCGCTCTTTGGCGCTGAGCTTGAGTCCTTGGCCACAGTTCTGTTGTCCTGGAAGGCATAGAACAGGTCAGCTTCCATGGTCACATCCTCCTCCAGTCCCCAAGGTAACTGACTCCAATGCCCTTGGCCCCTTTGACATTTTCTCTTGAGATTTCTGTTGAGATTGTAAGACACACTGTCCTCAGTCCTGGGGTCCCAGCCACCTTCCAGGCTCAGCCTAGCCTACAGAGAGTTTTCTGGGCCTGAGTGGTACTCTCTCTCTTCGATCTCCAGCCCGCCTATGAGACGCGTCGTCATTCCATACACTGCAGAAACCCACTGCCAGTGCGAGGGTGGCTGCCAATCATTAATTTCCCATGGAATTAATACTTTGCTCATCCCCAGTGAGCAGAGTTTGTCACTGCATGGGATAAGATGTGACCACTCACTGCACCCCAGGATGTGAAGGCTGATGGGCAAAAGCCCACCAAGTGCCTAGCACAGTGCCCCGTGCGGCCAGCACTCAGCTAATGATGTCCACTTTTATTGAGACCCCAGCAGCTGACCAGCGCCCCAAAGCAGGCCCTTGCGCCTGTGCAGCCTCGTGTCCACCATGTCCTTCTGTTTCTGTGCTGCCTGCGGAGCTGGCTTAGGGTGGCACCCTCTTACCTCTTGCTGATGGGTTTCATCCCCCGGGGCCCTTTCTTGCCAGTGTCCCCAGCTGTCACCACCTTTGGAAATCTTCCCTGCCTGCGTCTGTCCTGCATCCTCGCAGGCTCTGTAGGACCACAGCCACCCCACCGTCTGCTTGTTCTACCATCTCCTTCCCTGGGTCACAACTCTGAGAGCAGGGGCTGAGGCCTTTATCTTGGTGCCTCCACAGTGCCACAGTGTGACAGAGGCTCAAGAAATATTTGGAGTGATAATTTTCTGGCCTTTACTAAAACTTGAATTGGTACAGCACTTTAATAGTTTAGCAGTTGTCAGTATCACTCCTTATCCCAGTTGATCTGCATGGGGCAGGACAGCACTCTTACTGCCAGAAAAACTGGGCACCTGTTGGGGACCCACCTGAGTGCAGAGCCCGCTGGGGGTGAGCGGGGATGGGTGCCTGGTGCTGGCCTCTCATACCTTGGGCAGGAGTGGCAGGCAGAGCCTCTGGGCAGGTGTGACCTGTGGATAGCTTTGGCCCACACCTTGGTTTTGAGTTTGGGGTACCCTCTGGCATGTGCTCCACTCTGGGGTTCCCAGCCTGCCTGATGCCCACCTAGGTTTGCAATGCCTGCTAGGAAAAAGAACCCTGCAGTGACGGTACACACAGAGTGCCCCTGCTTTTTGTGTGACTGTAGCAGGGCTTGGAGCACTCTGTCACCCAAGCTCAGGGGCTGTCCGCTTGAGCCCCTGCTAGTGGGCCCTTCACAAACTCCTGGGCTCTGATGTTGCTAAGCCTTCACTGGGGGCCACCTAGACTCTGTCCAGGTGAGAGGAGGGCAGTGGAGTCAGTCTGTCTCTCTCCCCTAGGACAAAGGGGACGATGGGGTCAAGGAGCTGGACAGCCTGAACAGCGAGCACCTGAGAACCGTCCAGCTCAATGTGTGCAGCCCTGAGCAGGTGGAGAAGGCGGTGGAGACAGTGCGCTCGAGCCTGAAGGACCCTGAGAAAGGTGGGGCCACTGTAGGGCAGCAGGAGGTGGGGACCCTTCCTAAATGCCACCCTTTGCTGGCATCCTGCCAAAGCCCTCCTTTATTGTTTAAATCCTTCCTCCTGCATGGTAGAAGGATGTGGATTAAGTGAAACACACCCATGAGATAGGGCAGTGTGTAACAGGGCCAGCGGGTGACTGCAGAGAGAGCTGCACTGGTTCCTGCCGGTTTAGCACTGTAAACCCACTGTGCTCTGTGCTGGGCTGAGCCTTGGGGACACCCAGGTGACCAAGACACAGACTACTCCTGAAGACCTCATGGTTCAGTGAGGGACCAGGTTAGCATCAGGAAGCTGTGCATTGGGAGAGGCAGGACGTGCCTGGTCTCGAGGTGCAGTGGGAAGGGGTCATGGGGCAGGTAGCAGTGGGAAAGCCATACCAGGAGCAGGGGAAGCTGGAGCAATGGAGGGAAGTGGCTTGGGCGTGTCTCAGGATAGAGTCTGCTGGGGGTGGTGGCGCAAGTGAGGTTGGCAGGAGGAGGGAGGTTATTGGAGCAAAGGGTGTCAGGTGAAGGGGTGTGGCTTCTCCCCCAAGGACCCTGGGAGCCACAGCAGGGCTGTCCCTAGCAGAATGGCCAGTCCTGTCTGATGAAGCTCACTGCTGGGACTGTGGCAGTGGGGGTGGGGGCATGGGCTTGATTGAGCTGAACTAGGGTGGGGGGCGCTGGCAGAGGAGGGGCAGACTCAGGAGGGGAGAAGACGCCACTGGCAGGACTTGAGCACTCAGGTGTGGGGGTGAGGGGCAGGCAGGAGGTCTCTGTCCCACATGCCTGGTGCAGAAACAGGTGAGGGGTGGGAAGGGGGTGCAAAGGACTCCTGGGGAACCTGGGCACTTTGGGCCAGGGAGGGGACCAGGCCCAGCAGGGATCTGTGCTACAGTGCAGATCCTCAGTGTCTCCCAGATCAGTCACACCGAGGACCCTGGAGGGAGGGCTTTGCTGCCGCCCTTCTGGGGCGCTGTCTGTGTGGTGTAGGGTGGTATTCTGTGCATCAGCAGGCTGGGCCATTGACCCCCACACATGCCCCTGATAGCCCAGATAGAACGGGAGCCTTGCCTGACACGGTGGTGCATGCCTGTGACCCCAGCACTTAGAAGGCTGAGGCAGCTAGATCTTGGCAAGCTTGAGGCCAGCCTAGGTTACATAGTGAGTTGAAGGCCAGCCTGTACTATGTACACAACCCTGTCTCAAAAGAAAGCAACAGAGAAGAAAGGAAAAGGGAGGCCTGGGAGGGCTCTCTGTCCCCTGCACAGTGGGTGGGCAGGGAGGAGAGAAGGGATGAGTGCCAGCAAGTAGGAGCAGGTGGAGACACTGTCACCTCTGAGAAGCACTTAGGTTGCGCATACAGTCTGACACTGCTGTCACCTGGCAGCCCAGGGTTGTCACTGCCCCTCCAGCAGGCCTGTCCTGGCCCCTGCTTCACAGCAGAGGCTGTGAGTCACCCGACTCACTGAACATTTGCTTAATCATGAACAGGCAGTCTGTGATCCTTTCCCGTAAGGGAAGGTAGGATGCTCCGGCGGGGTGATTCCAGCAGAGACACAGCTGGTGTGGAATCCTCCTCTGCCCGCCCTGCCCCCTGTCCCCTTTGCAGCTGGGATGTCACTCGCCTTCATGAAGCATTAGGCAGGAAAATAGCTGCCTCAGAGCCCCTTGTAGCCTTGTAGCCTGTGGCCTTGGCTGTGGTGTGAATTGCCCAGGAAGTCACCAGCGACCTCAGCACAGGCTGGGGCTTTCCCAAGGTGGGGGTCCTTGTTCCCTACCATGGGGCAGGGCCACCTCCATTCCCTGTCCTGGTTTGGCCAATGTGCCCAGCTGGGCTAGGCAGCATCCCCACTGCTCTGGCTGCCAGTGGGGAGGGCTCCCCCCACCCAGTGTGAGCCCAGACACATAATCTTTCCAGCATGTTTGATGAACCACTCACTGTGACCATCCTTAACTACTACTGCATATTTTGGAAAAAGATCTGAAGATTTTTAGGTCCAAAAAGAAAATGTGTGAGACATAATCACGTGCCAACACCAATTCTTCTCTGACCTTCTCCCCCCTCTCCCTATTGGCCTCTCTTCTCAGGCAGCTTGGCTTTGAACTCCAGATAGCGACCTCCCATTGAGCCCCCTGCAGCAGTGACCACCTCTGGTCACACCCACCGGACAGGGGCCTTTCATGACCAGTGTCCTGTGGGTGAGACGAAGAAGGGAGGCTATCTGAATGAGACCAGCTGCCTGCCATGGCGCTTTCTTGCCAGCAGGTGGTGCACTACCAGGCAAGCTGTTGATCCAGGAGCAGGGGCGCTCCCAGGTCAATTTTCATTAAGCCTTTTTGGATAGCAGTGGTAGATGCAATTGTTTCGTTTCTAGGTGGAACAGATACCCTTTTCAGATCATGTGTCATTGTCCCATATGAATGGAGCACCGAACCACTGGAAATTCCATGAAGAAAAGCAAGCTGAGGACAGGACATGGGGCAGGGATGCCCGTCACGGGAAGTGGGCTCAGGTGGGAGAAGCCAGAGGCTGACACCCAGTGTCCTCATACCAAGGGGACAGCGAATGTCCAGGAGCCTAGTGGCCCTTGGCTCCTAGAAGGCAGAGCACAGCAGGGTCCTTCCAACCCAGGGAGGTACTGAATCCCAGCACAGTGGGACGGTACAGAGAGGGCGGAGTGTGCACCCAGGGAGACCTGGCGTGGACAGAGGAGGGCCAGCTGTGTGACCTGAGGGCCGTGTCTACAGGCATTCGTGCTCCTCTTTTTTGCAGTACTGGGAATTGAACCCAGGACCATTTCCCCAGTCCCATTTTTCTTTTGAGCTAGGGTCTCACTGATTCTCTAAGTCACCCAGGCTGAGTTCAGACTCATCCTCCTCCTGCCTCATCCTCCCGGATGTATCTTTTGAGGACCTACTGTGTGCATTGATGAGGGGAGGGAGCCAGGAGCAAGGGGAGAGACGGAGCCGCATAAAAGGAAGAGAAGGGTGGCTTATGAAGAGGATGGAGCCCGCCCGGATCCAGATGCTGTCATTGGCGAGGACCCTGATGGTGTTACTAGGTCTGTCTGGAGTTTGTGAGGTCCCTGCAGGCAGCAGCGAGGGGCTCTGCACACTCTGTTAACTGGCAATTTCTGTTCCTTGATAAATGTTCTTAATTCTCTGTAATTGAAAGAGAAGGCGCCAGAGGTCAGGAGTGGAGCTTTAATTTGGTCACAAGTCAATGCGGAGCCATCGCTCTCATGGATACACTTACTTCCCTGCTGGGCTTGGAAAGTGGCAGCGTTCTGGCAGGTGGGGGGTGCCACAAGGAGGGGGGCTCTGCTCTGATGCTGCCTGAGAAGGGGCTCAGGACTTTCAGCCCAGGAGACTGAGCCTGGGGTGGCTAAGCCCTGAGGGCCCCCAGCAGAGAGCAGGCTCTGGCCTGGGAATCAGCCATCTGCTCTTTGCACCCCCAAACACTGAATTCCAAGGAGGCCCTGTAAATGGGGCTGCCTCTCTGCTGCTTCCCCTGGATTCAGCTGGCTTCCTGATTTAACTTCAATCTGGGCCTTCCCTTTCGGGCCTCAGTTTCCCTACCAGTAAGATGAGACAGTAGCCTAGATAAAGCCCAGGAGCCTCCAGCGCCTGCATTCTCTGTGTCTGCAAGAGCCAGGTGTCCCTTAGCAGGGCCTGTGGGAAGCAGGCCACCAGTGTGAGGCTGTGTATGCTCTGGGCTCTGGGGCATCACACGCTGCGGAGGTGGATTGCAGCTGGCAAAGGGACCCTGGGGAACAGGTCAGTGAGTCCTGGGCCTTCACGTATGCCAAGTAGCATGCTGTGTCTTGGCTTGGAGGAGGAAGATGAGAGAATAGAGTGCTTGTTATGAAGGTCTCGGGAAGGAGCAGAGGTGACGCTGGGGCTAGACTGCATAGGCCTGAGGGACAGTCCAGCAAACAGCACTTTTGGCCTCTGTCTGATGTCATTCTTGGGTGACTCTGGAAGGTTTTCTGAGAGCCTTGGGCAAGAGGCTGGAAGTCAGAGGGAATGCAGGCCAAGTGGCGCAGGGTGGGCTCTGGGCTGGTGAGCGATGTCTGAGGCCGGGCATGTGTGCTGACAGTCATGTCCTCTCCTGAACTGGTCAGCTTTCTTGTTGCTGAGACAATGTGCTGGACACTCACAATAAAGGAAGACAGATTTGATTTGGCTCACAGTTTGCGAGGTTTGGAGCATGGTCACCTGGCTCGAAGGCAGGACATCGTGGTGGAGCAGAGCTGCTGGGAAGCAGCGCACAGGGGCAGAGGCCAGGGACCAGAGTCTCCATGGTCCCGACACCCCCAGAAATGTGCTTTCCCATTCTTCAAGGAGGTCTGTCAGGCCAGTCAAGTTGATCATCAAGATTAACTTGCACCTTCTATCCAGGGCTGTGGGGCCTGATTAACAACGCGGGCATCTCGACTTTCGGGGAGGTAGAGTTCACCACCATGGAGACCTACAAGGAAGTGGCAGAAGTGAACCTCTGGGGCACAGTGCGGACGACAAAATCTTTCCTCCCACTCCTCCGAAGAGCCAAAGGTAAGTTGGGAAGACAGCTGCTTCTTGTCCCTTGGACTGGCCAAGCTGCAAATGCTCCAGAGCTACCCTCCATAGCAGCAAGGCTGAGTCATGAGTCCTAGGGCCATGCTAGGCGAGTGGGAGGCAGAGTGCGTGGCCAGCGCAGGGAGAGGGCGTGCGGCCTCCGGAAAGCAGAGCAGGTGGCCCCACCATGGCATCACAGCAGGTGATGGTTAAAGAAGTGGTCGTTTTCCCATTCTGTGGGGTGATCTTCGTAACTCAAACAGGAGACAATTGTGGCATTACGTTAAGGAGAAGTATTAAGATTAGAAACTTAGAAAACAAGCAAAACACCCAAACCATAGAAGATAGCCAAATGGAAGCAGAGTACACATGGAGGGTTTTAAAAGGAAACCTAGTCCTTGAGTGATCTCCAACTAAGAGGTTTCTGAAAGGTGCCACCCCACTGTGTCCCTGGCCCCAGGGTAGGCTGTGTTCCTTCCCGTGCCCTCCGCAGTTGGCAGTCCTGGGTCTGACTGAAGGATTCACCTCCAATCCTGCCCCAGGGCTGAGAGAGAGAAGCTGTGGTGGCACCTGATACCCTCAGGCTGGGCACCTTTCAAAGTCACCACTCTTCCAGTGCTGGAGACCCTGCCTGTTCATCCCAGCCCTGGAATCTGGTTCAGAACCCCACTTCCACCTTAGCCCACTACTCTGTGTGCTGGGAAGGCTTGGGCTGCAAACCTGCTTCCATCCCTAGTGTTGCCATTGGTCAGTGCACACATAGACTCAGTGTGTTGACCACCCACACGGCTTACTAGTCACCTGCCTAGGTGGCACTGCCCTGTGATGCAGCAGAATCCTTGACATATGCAGCTTATGGAGGAGAGGTTTATTTTGATCCATAGTTCAGTTCAGAGTAGCCGGTCTGTAAGGCCGAGAAGCATGTGGTGGGAGGGCTGCGAGCAGGGAAGCTGCCCACCTCGTAGTGAGCAGGATGGAGAGAGCCAGAAGAGCACCTGAGGAGAGGTGCACCCTTTACAGCTGTGCCCCCAATGACCTACTTCCTCCTACTAGCCTTCAGCTATGAATTTAGGGGTGGATTAATCCAGCAGAGTAGCTCTTAATCCATCAAGCTGATGTAGCAGGGAGATAGCTCAGCAGATTAAGCACCTGCTTAGGCAAGCGCAGGGACTGGGGTTCAATCAGCAGTACCACATGCCATTCTGGCCTTCCCCTGGGGCACACTGAGCTGGCCACTGAGACCGGGCGTGGTGGCACACGCCTGTAATCTCAGAGCAGGGGAGGCTGAAAACGAGTTCGAGCTGTAGTGAGACACTGTACCAAATATGTAAATTACGCTGACAATCGAGATTCACTGTCATACTGGGTGAGCTCTATGGGCAGAAGGAAGAGCTTCTCTCCTTGACCAGCCTCAGATTTTGCCCAGCTGCACAGACAGGGTGAACACACCGATCTCCTGGTCACCGCTGTCTTCCTCTCCTGTTTTTACTCCAAGGTATGATCACCAGGCAGGGCTGTGTCTGGTTTTGAGATAGCTGTGTGTTGCCGGTTGTCCCAGCTGGTGAGCAGGGTTTCTTCTCACTGCTTTGTCCTCCTCTGCCCTGGCTGGCACACCTGAGGGAGGGCCAGGGGTGCTGATGCATAGGAGGCCCACGCTGGCTGTGGCTGCTCCCTGACCCTGGGTGATTCTGAAGTGCTGCCAGCCAGGTATCTGTGTCAGGGCAGTGCCACCTGAACGGTATTTACTGTCTCCCTCTGCAGGCCGCGTGGTCAACATCAGCAGCATGCTGGGCCGCATGGCCAACCCAGCCCGGTCCCCATACTGCATCACCAAGTTTGGGGTGGAGGCCTTCTCCGACTGCCTGCGCTATGAGATGTACCCTCTGGGCGTGAAGGTCAGCGTGGTGGAGCCAGGCAACTTCATCGCCGCCACCAGCCTGTACAGCCCAGAGCGCATCCAGGCCATCGCCGCGAAGATGTGGGATGAGCTGCCGGAAGTCGTGCGCAAGGACTATGGCCGCAAGTACTTTGATGAGAAGATCGCCAAGATGGAGACCTACTGCAACAGCGGCTCCACAGACACCTCCCCCGTCATCGATGCTGTCACCCACGCCCTGACCGCTGCCACCCCCTACACCCGCTACCACCCCATGGACTACTACTGGTGGCTGCGAATGCAGATCATGACCCACCTGCCCGGAGCCGTGTCCGACATGATCTACATCCACTGAAGGGTTTTGCTGTGACCCATCTGGGAGCCGCAGTGGGAAGGGAGAGGTTGGGGTGGGTGGAGCACATACAGTCACTTTGATTAACCACTTGTGGGTCACTACTGTCCTTGGAAGACTCATTTTAGCATTAACAGAGTCAGTAACCCAGCCTGACTCACTCGTGTGCTGAGTGGCTCAGGTCTTCACAAAACAGGGTCCAGGTGAGGTGGCCTAGACCTTGGGGTGAACATGGTGCATCTATCTGGATTTGATTTCATATGAAAATTTTGGGAAACATCTTTATATTAAACACATTAACTATACAATGCAGTCCCTATTCCTTTATGTCTTTAGGCAAAACATTAACTAAAAAAACTGTTGATTGTTAAGCCAACCTGTTGAGTAAGGACAGATATTTTTTTGATTCTGTGCATGAAGAAATTGCAGCTGCGAGAGGAGGTGTGAGATAAGTGCAGGAGCACACACTATGTTCCAGGGTGATCCGCGTAACCTTTCATCCAGGAGCCTTCTGACCAGCCCCATGTCCTCGCCCAGGCCTTGCATGCAATGTGTACCTCTTTGCACCGTAACCATACTGTGTGGGTGGGGCATGGTGGTGCACGCCTGTCATTCCAGCACTGCAGGAGGCTGAGGCAGAAGGATTGCAAGTTCAAGTCCAGGATGGTGTGATGTGAATAGCAGCCAGCCAGTGGTGATTTTGCGCTGGCTTTATGGCACAGGTGTGGATTGTTCTGGAGCCCTTTATTTGAGATCTCTCCACTCTCCTTGGGCGCGTAGGCTAGGCTTGTGTGGGGTGCTTTTAGCTAAGGGGGCAGTTTGTTTCTGGTTTGGATCTGTTTGGTTTTTGCCTGGGTAGGACTGGTGTTAGCTGTGGCTGCAGATGGAGCAGCCTTGGCAAGGCACAAGCTCTGGGCACCTTCTTTCCCGGGGTGCTCTTTCATGTCACACACATGTGCATGCACACATGCATGCACACATGTACACCCCTGCTGCACAGGGCTTCAGGGTGCCTTTCATCTGTAGCTCCTTCCTGTTGAAGCTTTACCTTTCTTTTTTTTTTTCCTGGCAGAACTAGGGATTGCACTCAGGCTCTTGCGCTTGCCAGGGAAACTCTTATTCTATTGAGCCGTCTCCCCAGCCCCATTGAAGCTTTACTTTTAATGAAGCCTGGACATTGCTAGGCATAGTTGTGTTACTACTTGGCTTTGGATTTGAAGGCTTCCGTCCCCGCAGTTGTTCAAGGACTGGATATTTGAACCCAAACCAGGCACCACGTCCTCCAGGTGGCTGCAAGCGTCTGGCAGGGGCCTGAGTGCCAACTCTGCAAATCAAAAGAACGCCTGCACCGCTCCCTGGAAGGGCCAGGCTGCCACTAGAGGGCGCCTGACTCCTCTGTGGCCGGAACCTGCTTCTTTCCCAATGGGAAGCTTCTCTAAAGCCCAGGTCTCACAAAGGCGGTGGCCCCCACCCCAGAAATTGCTTAGGAAGCAGGCCCCTCAAGACGGTGTCGCTGCGCTCCTAGCAGCTGCCTGGCTGGAGGCTGGAGAAGGCAGAGGAGCCTCGGCAGCTGGAACAGGCTCTGGGCGCAGGCTGTGCCAAGGCAAAGGGGAACCTCACAAAGAACAAATTCAGCTTGGCTCTGGGGCTTTTGTCTCCTCTGTGTTCAAATAGGGGTGCCCTGTCCCAGCTCCTGTCTGCAGGGGAGGCCAAAGAGGGGCTGTTCTACAGAGCTTGCCTCCAGCTGGGGCCTTTCAGAGTCTTGTACTTACATCCCAGGAGAATTTGTTTCAGGCTTAATGAGGGAGAATGGGTGTAACTCCTGGGGCTACATGTGCATACCCCTCCCTGGGAACCAGGAGTAAGGGGCTGGCCACATGCTCTGGGCCCCAGTCAATAGTAAACAGAACACTGGGGATACCACATCTGTGCCTGAGGGGTCCCCAGCAGTAAGCTTGCCAATCAACCTGCAGCCTGTTCCCATTTTAAGTTTTTATCCCAGTGATTGAGAAGCCTAGGGTGTCTTCCCTCCATCTAATCTCGATGCTAATTAAAAACCTCCATTTAAGGTTCACTTTCTGCAGCCTACAGCTGCTTGGGCGCGGGGTATAGTTTGATCATTATGAAAGGCAGGGAAGCCGAGCAGAGCAGAGGCTGTTCCCATTTCATAGATGACATAACTGAGCCCCAAAGAAGGAAATGGCTCACGTGGTGTCCCGGTGGATCTGGGCAGAACCAGGCGAGAGCCAAGTCTCCTAGGTGTACCATCACCCTCCATGGGGTCCACGCACTGTGATGGCACACCATGGCTCACTACACCAAGCAACGGTTGCCACCCCTGGCCATCCATGGAGAGCTGCCCCTTCCTGTTGGGGGTGGGACAGGTCCAGTCCTGCTGGAAACAGATGGTAGAACAAGGCCCATCTTGGAGAGGAGCTACATCCTCACACCTAGGATGGTGCACTTCCTCAGGAAGGCCAGAGGCCCCTCTCCTGGGCCTGCAGCTCTGGGCCTGGGACTTGTGAGGGATCGCTAATCTCCCACGCAGGAGGTTCTGTTACACAAGGGCACGGGGAGCCCTTAGCCAGCCCTACAGCCCTGAGCCAGGGCTCTGTCTTCCCCTCAAATTCATCTGCCTGAGTCCATCGCTGTGTTGGAGGTAGGACTTTTAGGAGGAAATTAAGGACAAATGAGGTCCTGAGGGTGAGATACTAATAGGAGAGATTTCTCTCCCAGCATACGGGACTTCTAGCCTTTAAAACTGGGAAAAAAATTTTTTTTCTGTTTTGTTTTTCTTGAGGCACAGTCTTATTTTGTAGCTCATGCTGGCCTTCAACTCACTATGTAGCCCAGGCTGCCCTGCAATTTATGGGGATCCTCCTGCCTCAGTCTCTCAAGTGCTGGGATTATAAGTGTGCACCGCCACACCCGGGCCTAAATTTCTGCTCTGTAAGTTCCAGTCCACAGCATTTGGTTATAAACTGCCCAGCTTGGCCAGTTCCTCTGGGAGCCATGCATTTATTGTCTCCCTGAAACTCCTCCCCATCGACCAAGCGACCTGGGAGGTCCCAGCCTTCCACCCCTCGTATGGTCTTGGGCCTGAGTTGGTGCTGCTGGAAGAGGAGAGAAGGCATTGCAGACAGAGCCTGGGGCTGCAGGATGGAGCTCAGCTGCAGCTGGCTTTATGGGGCTTCTGTGAGGACCGAGAGTCTGGGCTGCAGCTACCACGGACCCCTCTTCTGTGGGCCAGTGGCTGGACAAGAGCTTTCTGCAAGATGCTTGGCTAGGGCTTTGGTCTGGAGCATGTGCTGTGCTCACCCACACTAGGGCCCAGACGGTTCTGAGCAGGGGCGAGGAGTCTGCCAAGCCCTGGTGCTGAGGTCTGTCCACTTCCTGTGCCCATGTGAGCGAGCAGAGGCTCTGGGCTCAGGCTGCAGGCAGCAACCTGGCTCGTGTGTGTGTGTGTGTGTGTGTGTGTGTGTGTGTGTGTGTATAGGCACACACAGTGCCAGGCACAGTTCCCAACCAGTCTGCCACTGCTGCTGTCACCTCTCACCCGATTCTCGGTTCTCTCAGCTGCCCTACCTAGCAGGTAGGAATGGTGGGGACAAGGAAACAGGCTTTCTCGTCTCTTCCCATCAGAGGGATGGAGCCTGGTGGCCACACCAGATCTAACCTCTAGCCCAGAGCCAGAGATGTGTGAAAAGCCAGGCAGATGGCACCAGGCCCTAAAATAGGGAGAAAAAAAGTGCCTCAATTATGTAACAGCGAGAGGAATCTTGACACCCATGACAGGAACAGTCACAGCAGGGCCGCACGAGCCAGTGCTCCTTCCCTTACCTCTCACAGCCCTCTCCCTGGGCAACCATGGGCCAGAGGGGCTCACCAGCACCCCTGCTGTAGGCAGTGCCATGTGCTCAGCTGGTTCTGCCCCCTACATGGGCATTTCTTTTCTCCTACCTTTTTTTTTTTATGAAACAGGGTCTGGCTATATATTCTAGGCTGGCCTTAAACTCACAAGGATCCTACTGCAGCCTTTTGAGGCTTTGGGATCATAGCTGTGCGCTGTTATACTTGGCCCTGTGTGGGCATTTATGTGGGCACACTTAGGAACACCCAAATCCCTACCTGGCAGCATCGCAAAAGGACTTGAGGGGCGGAGGAGCACAGCCTGAGGTGCACAGTGGTGATTCTGCCCTAACTGCTGGCATGAAGAGGGCTTCGGGCTTCTAGGGCTCACCAGCTTTTCTGATGTGTGTAGGCCTGAGGAGTGGAGATTCATGAATGGTGGCTTCAGAGACACAGGGTGAACACCTGCTGGTCCAGAGACTGGGGCCGAAGGAGCAGAGCTAGGGACATGGGCTGAGAGAGGCTGCCAGGACCCGCGCCACTTCAGAGAAGGAAAAGGGACTGGGTCAGTATCAAGCCTGAGTCACAACTTCCTGGATGACCAGTCCGCTGATCTATCCTGCAGAACTATCTTTCAAATAAAATGGAGAAGTGAAATATTTCCATGACAAAGAACAACTAAAGAATTTCATGATGAATCTTGAATCTCTCCAGTGACAGGGAGCTCATTCCTTCTTCTTCTTCTTCTTCTTTTTTTTTTTTTTTTGACATCATTTATTTTTATTTTAAAGGAAGAAAAAAAATAAAAATTGGTACAAAATCTCAAAACAAGATTTTAGGAGAGTAACAATGGTTAGTACATTGTGTATTGTTATTGCCAAAGTAGTTTCTCATATTACAAGATA